GACGCAAACAAAACTGCCATTTTGACGTGAAAGGTTATAGTCCTCTATTATTACTATTTCACCTCCCTATGCACCTAACCGTCACTCCTCTACTTAGGGTTGGTGAGAGGCATCTTATTACAAAGTAAATTGTAATTATATTACGAAGACCTGCGTGAAGTGGAAGAGCTGTTCTGTGGAGTTGTTGGCAACGCTTCTGCAGCCCCGTGGGTGCTGTAGACATCCATGTGTAGCACACCATGGATGCAATTACCTGAAAGTCTAACCCAAAAGTATAGGTTGGAAGGCTCAAATTTCAAAACTTGATACTCTGGCGTTGCCAAGTTTTCTAGTGTCGTCAGCATTTTATTCAACAACCTACATGTAGAGTGTTCTGAGGATTTATTCGGATTCTTTCTTTTTTTTCGTGTACACCACCGTTCTGCGGCGGTGGTACTTAACGGATGATAAAGATCCTGCCACGGACCGCCAGTTTGTGTAAAATGTATCCAGCGATACTCCCTATGCAATTTGGAGTCCTTCGAGAGGAGAGCCTAACCGAAAAAAAGTGCCAAACGAGCTGACGGTTCACCTGTTGTTAAGTGATAACAACCGCCCATAGAAATTTGCAATACCCGTAGGGTTGCAAATGCGTTGCGCCACCTTTAAATAAAGTGGGCCCCAGCTATCTCATCACACGAAACGCAGAAGTGTAACACTTCTACTTTACGCTGATCTTCTGTGATATCGTGGTACTTATCCGGACGGACCGGCCCATTCGTGCAACTGTGAAAACCGTTGCGTGGCCCTACCACAGTACCTTCCGCGTTTGCCACCCGTTTGATGGACTCGGGTTATATTATACGTTCTGAAAAGCGAGTGCAAAAAGTGTACCCAATTGCCTACGCTATGGGAATAGACCCTAACGGATCCATTACTCAAACGGCGGAAAACTGAGCGTCGTAAATAACACTGCCCAAACCGAACGGGCGAGCGGCGCCGCGGGGCACCCACTACTATTTACATACTACATCGGTCACGCGTGTAGGCGTGTTTGTTTTTCCGCCGGTTCCCACATTACTCAGGCCGTGAGTAGGCACTGAGTCATCCGAGTGCGGCGGGATTATTATCATTTTTGAAAGATCACGTAAATCCCGCTAGAAATACCAATATGGTATCACTTCCAAACCGGGAACTAAAGTCACTTCTCTTTTATCCCGTCTCTCCCCTTCTGCACCTTCCCAGAAGGGAATGCCCTTCTCTCTAATATTCATTAGAGAAAGAAATAGAATTTGAATAATAGTTACTTTAAATCTATCTTTATATACAATTGGCTAGAAACAGGCCTTTTTTGTTTGTATTTAATAACACGCTTACTAATTAGTAATCCCGGAAATCGGGAGATCACAGCTGATCCTATATTTTTTCTAATACGAACTTATATCATCAAAAATTTTGAAACAATTATCTAGGTACCCATATTATATTTATCTAACATAAAATACTATAGTTATAATAATAAAAAGAAATTACTATATATATTAACATAAAATATAGTAAACCTATTTAATTACATAATACATAATAAATGTATATAAAATATTTCAAAATAACAATAAAAATAACCGTTAAATCGGTCATTTTTAAATGCAAACATCTAGAGAGTATAAGAGACATTCTATTTTTTCTTAGAACTAACAATAGTTATGTCTTCAACTAATACAGTTAAGTTGAAGAGTTACAAGCATTTTTAATTGTTGCCTTCATGAGGTAGTGGCAGCTGCCTCCATCAACATCTAGAGAGACAGAGACTGGAGTAAGACAACAAGTAGTGAAATGAATAAACTGGCCAAATGCGAACCGGCCTAGCGCAGGAAGTGTTCCGTACCATTATCTATAAAAGCGGCAAAAAAAATCATGTCCGTTGTTTTTCGCAGGAGTGCTGATAAGTGCCGAACAAACAAGTAGTGTTTGACTGGTAGCTTATGACCGCATTTTTTTAATCCGTTAATTGATTGTGGTTATTGGACCACGCAAAAGTATCCCTGTTGCACGGTGGGCAGCTCCGTCTGGGTAAGTGCCACGGCCTCACAGAAGACCGGCGTAAAGTAGAAGTGTTACACTTCTGCGTTTCGTCTGGTGAGTTAGGAAGCCGGAGCCCACATAAATAAGAGGTGGCAACACATTTGCAACACAACCAGTGTATTACTATATTCACAATAGCGTATACGTCAAACCCTTCTCACTGATCATTGTATCCTCATGGTTGCCTGGAAGAAATCGCTCCTTAGCGATAAGGCCGCCGAATGTACCTTTATGTAGTTGTTTGTTACTTTTGTCTGGTGTACAATAAAGCGTATTTCATTCAATTCATTCATTCCTTCATTCACCATGCACTCGTACTTATGCATACTGATACCAATATTATACGTACAGGATAATTACATAGTATACTTAAATATTTAAAAGTCCCCTACAGTTCAAGGCATTGGGACGGAACGCCGCGGGGCGGACACTAGTCTACCGACCAAACTAAAGCGGCCGGTTAGACATTGCGCACACAAGACGCTATCTCGCAACTGATAACAGCCGTTCGCGGAAGAAACGCGTTCACACAATTCCAGTAACGAAGTTATTACCTCATTATCTTGTTCATACACTTACGGCGGCCGGACCGACGACGTTGCTGGGCAGTTTGCGAGGGCAGTTTATTAGTGCACTGGAATCGCAAAATCAAATTGATATCACTACATAGTATAAAAGTCGTCCCGCTGTATGTCTGTCCCTATATATATGCTTAGATCTTTTAAACTACACAACGGATTTTGATGCGGTTTTCTTTATTAGATAGAGCGATTCAACATGAAGGTTTAATAATAATAGTAGACAAACAATGATAATTTTAGAGGTTTATAATGAGATGTAAACAAACATTCAGCATTGCACCCGTGCGAGGCCGGGGTGGGTCGCTATTATTCAATATAGAGGGCATTACAATTACTTATTTATTGTCATAATACTGCTACTGGTTCCGAAAAAAGCCAAAGACCTGAGAAGAACCTGCGAAAGAGATCCAGCGGATAGATTTACGGACAGCAAAAGCAAAAGTTGGGATCGTTGCGTCCGTTAACTCTGCCTACGGCGGCCGTACAAATCTTTGCCGCATCAATACATTTCTTTTAATATAGACGACATGACATGTGTTATTGATTGTTTCAACTGTATCAAAATTTTCAAAATTATAGGGGTGTCATAAATTACACAAAAAAATCGTGTAAGGGCACACTGAATGTGGGGCTATTGTCTAAACTATCAGAGTTGTAAAGTACCTCTAATAGTATTTTTAACCGTTTCGTTTTCGATTCGTTTCCCGCGTTGTGTCGTGCACCACTGCCCGCATATTAACCCCGATTGTTGGCAAATTTCTAGCACTTTAAAAATTACTAGGCACGAATATTATGAGTGCGAAATTTCATGTGAATTGTTGTAATTGTTACGTTGCACGGCAACCTGGGAAGGGACTCTGATGTATGTACCTTATTAGGTGATACAACATTGTTTCAGCTAAATACAAGAATAATCGAGAATAATAAATTTTAATGTAAAACTATTTAACGGCAAATTTGATAATGTTTGAGTCTAAATATCAGCTTTCATGACATTAACTAGGTATACATTTATTCGCGAGACAAATAACTATTATAATGCTGGTAGAGTTCGATTGCAAGGTAATTTCATAAATATATATATACACAAACATCCCTCGTGGGAGTGGACGAAGATCGATAAAGTCTACTTAAAATATTTTTCGCGGAATCCTATTTAGATAGCGTCTTTAGCATTTAGGTACGATCCAATCGAGACCTTGGTAAGTCTCGACCCCTCGATAAGCGACCTCTGAACCAAATCGAAGGACAAAGTCCGTTTAATTGAATTGCTTCAAGCGTGGGTGAGATTAGGTTTTGATAACGCGCACAAGCTGCGTTGACAGACATCGCTAATGTCATGTTTTACTTATGCTTAGTTTGGGAGCGCGTCGTTTAGCCAAAACACAGAGGAACTACATTCGTCGAGTAGAGTTAAAATATATTGTATAATAAACTAGCGACCCGCCCCGGTTTCGCACGGGTGCAATGTATTACACATAAAAACCTTCCTCTTGAATCACTCTATATAGTTAAAAGAAAACCGCTTCAAGATCCGTTGCGTAGTTTTAAAGATCTAAGTATACATAGGGACAGACAGACAGCGGGACGATTTTGTTTTGTACTATGTAGTGATACGTAAAATTCGTTAGCAGCATCCGGCTGATATTTAGATACTTCGCGGGGGTCTTCTGCACTTTTTTTGGTGAGTCACATTTGTTCGGAGCAAAATCAGAACGGACGCTCGAATTCTTTGCGTTAAATACACAGCGTCCAGCCAAATCCCTCAACAGGATTAGTCCTAAAGCGTCCACACGGCAGGCACAGAAATGTGGGACGCAGTTTGATCCCTAAATAGAAGCAACAAAACCCATCAGCGTCTCCCATTTGCCCAACTACGGGCGGCCGTCGCAAACGAGTTTGACGCATATGGAAATGTTGGTCCCACTAGCTACCCCTCCCATGCTCTATCCCGGAGTGTATGTAGCGAACGTTGCCCATGGCTTCCTATTGTCGTGAGCGTATTAGTTCGCGTCGGGCTGGAGGCGGTTTATAAAGAGTTACTACTAGTTACGTTACGTGCCGTTGCGAGAGATATCTGAACGCGTCAGACCGAGTTTTATCATCGAGCGAACACAATTTTGTGAAGCCAATCAAAACACAGGAACGGCTTAATATTATGTAGGCGAATGGAGAACTCGCTCTTCTGCCTTGCGTTCAAACTTTCTCGTTCCGCCTCTAATTTAATTCTGAAAGTTGAACACGAAGCCCGGCTGCGGTGTCCCAATAGCCGAGAGGGGAATATGCGGTTCTGTTTTGTCTGTTTTGTTCGGAACCTTATGCTTTGAGTAAGGGATGAGAAACAGGTATACCTCACGAGTTCTCGAAACAGTTCCCCGTCGGCTTCGAACCTGGGGCAGCGAAGGCCAGTGAAATCAGGTGAGCGCGCCTGCCGCTCGGAGGCGGATGGCGGTGATCCGTCAAGCGTCCACTTTCACCACCAGGTGCCGCTCTCGTACCGGCGAAAGGCGGCCCGGGGCCACGGGCACTCGCCGCTCGAACCCGCACCCGTCTTGGCATTTAGCCCGCGCCACTGAATGCATGGCGTCTCACGTCCGGTGGCGTATAGAGCTATCTCGCGCTCGCACGCTTAGAAACAATTGATTAGTGTTCTTCGTGTCCGACACACTTCACAACGACCAAACACCGACCAAACACCGACCGGTTAGTTGTAAGTTGAAAAATTGTACACATTAACAGCATGCAAACACGTGGGAATACAAATAAAACTGGCCAAGTGCGACTCCGTCTCGCGCACGAAGGTTTCCGTACTGTTGATCGGGCAAAAAATCATGTCTTTTGTATGGGATCCCCACATGCATATTTATTATTCAGTTTTTTGTATTTGTTGTTATAGCGGCAACAGAAATACATCATCTACATTATATTTATTTAAGCGTGTGTAAATATGCTCGTTACGTACGCTTAAATACCATAACCATACATTGTATATTTCATTCACATTAGTAATGAACTTTTTTTATTGCACCTACCACAATTTATCTCCACGCCCCGGGTTGACTGGGAGAGAGTGTGCTGGACATTATGTTCGCCATTTGTAATCCTTGTTTAAGGTAATTGCAATAAAGTAAAAATAAATAAAATCATCTGTCCACTGTCAAATTGTGAAATTTCGACTGTAAAGTCCTTTTCATGAAAGAAGTGCCCCAGACGCAGCGCTGTACTCGCGTGACATAGTGTTGCCATTTATGAGTAAAAATTTACCTATTTTACATTTAGCATATGTAATTTATCAAATAATATTATTTCCTGCAGACTTCGACGAAACTATTAAATTGTATTAAGAAATAAATACATTTTAGATAGGCTGTAATTTCATTACTCAAGCCAATACTATAACAATAGTTCAGATTAGTGAAACATGTATATTTCTGATAAGTGAAATATATATTTGGGCATTTTTATCAAAATGTCTACCAACCCACTCATGGGATGACTCATGCAATAAGTCCAATTAACTAACGTTATTATGACTATGTAAGTGTCGTGTTATTATTAAATAGTTTCAGTGTTTAGGTGAGAAACTAAAAACAAAGCAATAAAAGCCGACGATTTTTGGTCATGATCAGTACTAGGAAACGTGGGATGTCACATTTCCTAGTTTAAGTTTAGTTAAACATAAATTTTGATAAAAATGGCCATTTACATAATTTACTATATTTCTGTTATGTAAAAAGTATATTTTTATTTACTTTTATAAGCGGTGTTCTACCTACTTACAGGGAAAAGATGAGAAAATAGGGTAAAGCAAAGCATTACAATTTTTTATTCAGAGTTTTATTGAATAATTGTGATCAGTGGCCATAGGAACATCACTGTCTGAAGAGTGGATGGAAACTGAATCAGATTCTGTTTCAGTATCACTAGCCGTAGATATAATTATTCGGTCCATCTCTTCATCCATAAGGCCGTCATTTTTTAAATATTCCTCCTCTAAATATTCGACATGCGTGCACTGAGCTGTCCAATCTTCAGCCGTAATAGACTCAAATGCCTCTACAGTTAATTTTACAATTTCTTTTGGATCTTGTGCCACATTCTCATCCGCCACCTTTCTTTTTACAAGGCTCCAGATTTTCTCCACCGGGTTTAGGTCGCAATGGTAAGGCGGCAACCTTAATACTTCGTGTCTGTGAGCTGTTAATAATTCTTCCACTGCAAATGTCGGTGGACCTTTATTTTGTTTGATTAGCTCAAACAGCACAGCTTTTCTCCAGGTGTCTTCAAAATATATACCCTTTTGCCGGAGCCATTCCTGCATACTACTTTTTATATTTGACATTGAAGGGGCTTTGTTTAATTGAGTGCAATGGTAAGGAGCGTTGTCCATTACCACAAGCGACCTTTCAGGTAGATTAGGTATTAATTTTTCCGTCACCCATTTTAAGAAATTTGCAGAGTTCATGTCATCGTGGTAATCTGAGGACTTTTGATTGGGATTTAAACATTAATAATGCACCATTTATGCATCCATCTTTTGTTCCCGCATGAGCGATTATCCAGCGACTCCCTGATGACTCTGAGACGAACATTCCTGGCTCCTCCTCACTCTGCCAACAACTTTTTGTATGATAAGTATTGTGTATATAGGTCTCATCTAAGTATACAACGAGTCGTTTTTCCACAGTGCGATTTATTCGTATTTTATCCAAATATCTTGCACGCCATGCGGTAATGTCGTGACGTTCCATAAGTAGTTTGCTTCTGGATTGACATCGCTTGTACTTGAAACCAATCCTATTTAATATCCTGTGCAATGTTGTGATGCTTCCCTGAAAATTGATGTCTTCTCTAAGAGCTGCTCGTAATTTAGCCAAAGTTGGTAATTCTTTATGCACAACGTAAAAACTGTGAATTTTTTGCCGGATAGCGCACAAATCGAACCCGTCTAAGTCGAACTTTTTCGGATGCGGGCGACTCTTCCCCGGGGGGTGACAATTTTTTTCGAAGTACTCGCCGCTGTTATACCTTCTTTGTAATTCTTGTTATAGTTTTCTCTGACACACCTGCAATTAAAGAATGAACAATTAAAAATAATAGTCACTAAGTTTATAATGCTTATGTACTATGTAATATACGTTTTAATTTCGGTTACCTAATTTCATCACGTTATGTATTTGTTCAATTTTGTCGCAAATCGAATTTATATCATAAAAGTCCCATCAATACAGCAAAAAATTATTATATGGCAAGTACCTGTTATGGCGGCGACTCTCTTCCGAACATTGTTCAGTGGTATTAAAACACCTTGATTCTTTTGTTCAGCTTCACAGAATTCTTTCACCTTCAATATCATTTCTCGAGCCGAACTTTTTACAACTTTTGGCATTGTAAACAATCTTTAAAATGCACTAAGCTAGTTTAAAACTCACAAAAATCTACCACAACAAACGAACTTGATAACATCGACGAACGACAACATGGCCGACCTGTCAAATTTAGTTCCAAAAATCACCGCGGGACTTCTTTCATGAAAAGGACTCTATAACTATCACGGTTCACGGGATTCAGCCCCGTAGGGTTTCACAATTCGGGAACGGAGCCCCATAAGCAAGTTGCCCTAGAAAGTTAGGGACTGGTTTTAATAGTACAGTCCCCATTTTGTGACGAATTTATAGTGTTAAGCCAAATCCCCAAGAGATACTCGTATATTGTACATGTACGTCTATTTCTTTGGCTCTTCATGTCGAACGCTTCGATGATGTAATTACGAAGTTTCATTAAATTTGTCGTATTCGTAATATAATTATTGGATAAAATGATTTAGCTCTGTTGGAGATAACGAACCTTTTCACTGTAAGTGGGTACTTTACCAAGTTTTAATAAAGATAGCGTTGAGACAGATGATAAATTACTCGGCCCAAACTAAATGAGGATTGTAATGGTCTCTCGTGCGATGTCGTTTCAATCAATGGCATCGCAATTGTAATGAGCAATTATTGTTGTAACTTTGTCATTAAGCAAAAAAAAAACATTCGAATTTATGGACATTGCTGACATTATTAAATTTTATCGTCGATTTAAACTTCATTATTACCACCCGCCAGCTAAGTAAAACCCGCGATGTTCGCCTTTCAATGCCAAAGTCCTTTGAAGATCCTTATTAAAGGCTGTTTTAAGGGTTCCGTACCCATAGGGTAAAACGGGACCCTATTACTAAGACTTCGCTGGCTGTCTGTCAGTCTGTCTGTCTGTCCGTCACCAGGCTGTAAATTTTTGAAATTTTCACAGATCAACAACAAATAATGAATAGCAGAATATAAGAAGTTTTCATTGTCGCTCCCATACAACAGACATGATACTTTTTTGCCGTTCTTATTGATAATGGTACCGAACCCTTCCCTTAAATTAAATTCCCGTAATTTAATAATAAATTAAATTCCCTTTTAAGCCTTATTATTAATTAAATACGATCGGTGTATCGCATCTAGTCTCGTCTCGTCGTTTAGAGGAGGGCCCACGTGCGAGTCCGAATCGCACTTGGCCGGTTTTTAACCGACTTCAAAAAAAGAAGAAGGTTTTTCAATTGGACTGTATATATATTTTTTTATGTGTGTTCGTGGATAACTTCGTCGTTTGTGAACCCGATTTCGATGATCCTTTTTTTGTCGGTGAGGAGATATTCCAAGGGCGGTACCGTGATAAGGAAACCAGGATCTGATGTAGAAATCCCAGGGAAATCAAAAGCAATCCTCAAATGTCATAGGTATTGACAATGTTTTTAGTTTCCTCCTTGAAGCCGGTGTTTTTCGTTAAAAACTATCTTGTTATTAACCAATCCATCGCTCGTACGTTCGGCCGTCCGTGCGCCGAGGGCCTGCGCATGTGCCTCGTCTCGGGCGTCCATTCATCCTGCACGGGATCCGCCGCCGTTTCGCATTCAAACCCGACGCGGCGCGCTTCGGAGAGCGGCCGCATACTCGTATCGAAAATCCCGAGGGGTCATCGGCCCCCACTCCGGAGGCCTAACGAGCCGCCCCCTTAATTTTGTAGCGGAATTTCGCAATGAATCGCGGATTTAACGAGGGCGGTGTTTCCATTTCGCACGGTATCGGTGTAAATTAAAAAAAAGGCCCGAGGCCCACAGGCCGCCTGCGTTCGCCATTCTTGTCATGTTTCTATATATCAGGCTCTTTCAATCAGAGCTCTCATGTTGTATTTGTAATTAATTAACATATAAATATTTATTGAAAAAAAAAATAATAAAAAAGCGCGCTGAGTTTCTTTCGCCGGTTCTTCTCAGTACAGTGGCTTTCTTTCCCGAACCGGTGGGTGGTATTTTGACTATCAATAATCGAGTGTAATGCTCCTATGTTGAATAAAGACATTTGGTTTTGATTTGATTTACACGACGCATCAGTTCGAATTTGCTATCGCTGTGAATTCGCTGTCGCTAAATGTGGTAGGACCACGCAACAGATTCCGCTGTTGCACGAATGGGCAGGCTCATCCGGGTAAGTACTAAGAAGGGTTATAGTTTCGTGTTTGGCGAGTGAGGTAACCGGGGCCCACTTCTGTAAACGTTGTCAATGCGTCTCCAACCGCAAACTCGGAGCCATAGTGTAGCTCGGAGTTGTCTGTTGAGTTGTCTACCACAGAAAAATATTTCTCACAATGATTTCTCACAATGACCGCTGTATTACTCATACAGCGGTCATTGTGATAAATCTGAAAAGTATGAACATAGCAGAACTTGTATTTTAATCTACATCATATTAATATTATTTAAATTTGAATACGGAAAATGTAACATAACTTCGTTACATCCACGCACGCGAGGCCGGACGGAGAGAGCTAGCTAGTAATTTAGCCGTTGCAATAAACGGGTGGTTGACGAAAGTGTGTTGAACCGCGGCCTGGCTGGTTGACGTCTTGGAGAGCCACGTTGCAACCTGACGGAAGGAAGTACGGGCCGGGCAAATTGTTCCACACCTTCCGTTTAGGCGCCGCTACGTTCTGGTGCGGGGGAAGTCGAAAACAAAGTCTAGTGCTTCGAGGGCAGGGGTAGACCTTGCTCGACGACCACTTGTGCATTTACCCTAGTGTCGCGGGCGTGGATTAAACTGGTCGTACGATATGCTTGTCGCCTTGTATGTGAACAAATACGAAAGTGGCAAATCCGAAACGGAGTGCCCATTGAGACGTTGCCGACGCACGATTGGTCCCGCCGGGTGTCGAGTCAAACGCGATTTCAAAGTCAAAATTGATCTACTCAATTCAGACGTGACCGGATCGTGTGTCGGTAAAATGAACCAACGGTTTATAAGAGTCCGTGACGCAGTTATAAGGTATTGGCTTCGGCGTCGGGGGTCGTGGGCTCGATTCCCACACGGGACAATTGTTTGTGCGACCCACGGATAGTTGTTTTGCATCTGAGTGTTTGTCGATGTGAAATCTATGTTTGTAAAATGTCCTTAGGGCAATGTTTTTAAAAAATCTAAAAAGAAGCATCCTTTCTTAGGTGATACAAATGTTTTCCCGGAGTGGAAATCGGGAATTGCCGGGAGTGGGGATCTTTTTTTTTTATGTGAAAAGTTGCCAAGTGAGCATGCGGTTCACCTGATGTTATATGAATACCGCCGCCCATGGACATCTGCTGCACCCGAGGGTTACAGATTAGGATCCGGCTCCGGCTACCTCACTCACCAGGCGAAACGCGAAAGTATTTGTTATACTTCCACTTCCCGCTGGTCTTCTGTGTGGTCCTGGTACTTAACGGCCAAACTATGCAACGCTTGCTCTATGGGTACCAGATAAACAATAGACATACTTAAACATACTTTTATTTTGTAAATAAATACATATTATACACACATAAACACTCTCACACTAGAAAAACATCATGTTCGTCACACAATATTTTTCCGGTAGTGGGAATCGAACCCACACAACTATATGTAAACTAAATATGGAACTAGATTCGAAATGTGTAAGATTTGAAATGAATGACCGGACCATACTGTCTCCAAACCGAGCTCGTATGCAATTTGTCAGAACGAAAACCATAAACGACCAGATAATAAAAGAATAATGACTTACTATATATATCTACATTGTTATAAAGTCATTTGGGTATATTGGCTGCTGTATTATACAAAGAACGTAATTATATTAGTATGTTTACCGATAATTTGGATATTCAAAGAGGATAACCGAATTAATTCATTGTATCCATTAGATTTGATGCACTAAAATCTATTTCATTCTGAAAATATGTTGGTTAGCTGTAGGTGGTGTTAGGAAGTTGACCTATTGTTTGGTCCATCTTCGGGGGGAATGTCGTGTGTTCAGCACCACGGATTTGGTCAGCCACCACCTTTTCCAGGCTTCAGCCCAAGATGGCGGGTGGCGGGCTCTGCCTCGCGCAAAAGATAACAGCGATGCTTCCGTAACGAGATCGCCGCAAAGCTACTCGGTACGCTTAGATGACGTCGTTAATTGGATCGTTAGATGACGTCGTTAATTCGACAGCACCCGACCGAGCGCCCCCTGGGGGGGATTTGAGTCCAGTTTAATCGGGGCCCGGATTTAAATCTGTATTGATTTCGAGATGGATTCCAATCCCTAATGGTGCTGAGAGCAGGTGAAATATGTTTGTTCGCTTGTAATGATTGATCTGCGAAACTATAGACATGGCGATACTAAATACGCGTTCAGTAGTAGATTAGATATTATATTGAAGTTCTTTTAGAAATTTGAATATTGGCTTCGGCGTCGGGGGTCGTGGGTTCGATTTCCACACGGGACAACTATTTGTGCGACGCACAGATAGTTGTTTCTTGTCTGGGTGTTTGTCTAAGTGAAATTTATGTTTGTAAAACGCCCTTACAACACAGGATAATGTTATCCTAAAGTAAGGGCACTGTTTTTAAAAAAAGGGAAAAGATGCACTCGGAGATTTAAATCAACGCTTAACTGGTCCGTATCATATTACTGTTGTTTGTCTCCAAGTATGGACGGAAGAAAAAAATCAAAATCATTTATTCATCGACAAAAGAAAGTTACATTTCATCTATCGATAGTGATTTTTTTTTAAATCTACCACCGTTTCGTAATGAGGTTCCTCTAGCGGAGAAAAAACAAGCGGAAGAAGAAGAAAGGTTTTATGTCATTCACTTTTATTTTTCTTAAAAAAATAAAGATATTATACAACTGATATTCTTTTCCTTTTAGAAATAGCTGTAAAATCAGCGATTTACCGTGGTAGGGCCACGCAAGTCCTCGCTGTTGAACGGATGGGCAGACCCGTCAGGGGAAGTACCATGACCTCCCACAGCACCGGCATGAAGTGGAAGATTTGTACTTCTGTACTTTTTTTAATGTTAGAAGATGGCAAGCGAGCTAGCGGTCCACCTATTGTTGAGTGATAGCCGTCGCCAGCGGCGCATTTAAAACATCCTATGTATTTGGGGTTCCAGATGCGTCGCCACCTATTAACAAAGTGGGCTAAGGTTACCTCAGCCACCATTCTGCGTTTCGTCTCGTGTATACGGTAACCGGTGCCGACCGCCATCTTACTTGCCACCTTCTTATATTAAAAAAGATATAGTAACCTGCTATGCGACACTCTTTGCCATGGCATAAAAATACTGGTATTTTAGAAAATTCACTAAATTCCCGAAGCTATGCGAAGCCTCTGCAGGCTGTGCAGTTTTTAGGGTTCCGTACCTTTTTATCCAAACGGTAAAACAGACAGACAGCGGAGTCTTAGTAACAGGGGCCCCTGTTACTAAGACTCCGCTGTCTGTCTGTCCGTCCATACTTCTGTCACCAGGCTGTATCTCATGGACCGGGATAGTTAGACAGTTAAAATTTTCATAGACGATGTACTTCTGTTGCCGCTATAATATCAAATCCTAAAAAACCGAATAAAACCATACAACAGACAATATTTTTGGCGTTTTAATAGATAATGGTACCGAACCCTTCCTATTAATTAAATTCCCTTAATTCAATAATAAATTAAATTCCCTTAACCCTTATTACTAATTAAATTTGATCGGTGTATCGCATCTAGTTTAATTGTATCGTTTTCTCGTTTAGAGCAGGGCCCGACGTGTTAAGCCAAAACGACGCGCAAACCGTCCTTAATCCTTCGTCAGTTAGATCAATCCGTGCCTTAGAGAGGCTGCATCCAATCAGCCGCCGCGAGCATACGAACAAAGAGAAAGTAGCGTTCTGTGTGAGAGACTTTTATTTTGGGAAACATGGCTCGACGAATGACAGACAGGATGTCGCTATGAAACGAAAAACAAGTCCATATTTTTACTAACGAAAACCAAAACCGACCTCAAATCGCGCTCTGTAATCATTTTATAAATGATATCCAGGAGTTCCCGAAGTATCTCCGGAGCCAAAGATCCAATACCAATGAAATTAATATATGAACACATGGGAAGCACCAGCTTTCAAAGAAAAAAAAAAAGAATCATTAAAATCGAATCAGTCGCCAGTTCTGAGGTGACAACCATAGAAAAATACAGTCGAATTGAGAGCCTCCTCCTTTTTCGAACTCGGTTGAAAATTATAGGCGAACGATGGGAAAGGGCGGCGGAGCTTTAGAAACTAAGTATGTAACAATTATTTTTTTTTTTATTTAGTCTAGTTTATTTTGGTTTTATTTAGTTATTTATTATGTCGGTTTTGTTTTACACCGATATCGAGTGTGGACGTACTAAGCTCGTCGTACTTAAGGCAAAGTTTTATCCACTTAACTGTGGTAGGACCGCGCAACAGCGCCGGCCGTTGCACGAATGGGCAGGTCCATCCGGGTGAGTACCACGACCTCACAGAAGACCGCGGTGAAGTGGAAATGTTAACTTCTGCGTTTCGTCTGGGAGTGAGGAAACCGGGGCCTCCTTTATAAGGAGGTGGAAAAGCATCAGCAACCATAAGGGTGTTGCATGTGTGCCATGGGCGGCGGTTATCACTTAACATCAAGTGAACCGCCAGCTCGTTTGCCACCTTCTCGCATAAAAAAAAGACTGCTTTAACATTGAACAACCTACCGATTTTACGTACATTTCTGATCATTCGGTACCTAAAGTTTTTAAGTTATTCTCCGTAAGGAAATACCCTAAATAAGCCGAGCAAACTCCGTTGGTAAGCTTCTCACCAAAGCTGCGATTGAAAAAGAAACGTGAAACTCGACTATGGACAATATCTTTTTTACTTTTTCAACGTAAGCATAATACGCTTAACGTCGTGTTACGACGAACGTTAAGTTAAACGTTGTTTTGACAACAGTCCGCGTCTAGGGCGACGATCTTTTCGACAATAGTGTTTGGATCGCTTGACTCGCTGATTGGCACCACGCTTTTGACACATTGAAATGTCTAAAACAACTTTAATATGTGTCGTGAGGTGAGGTGCGGGATCGATGATTAAATAAAAACACGACTGCACTGTTAGGCGTATGATTTAATACTAATCTGAGACAATACAGGGTAAAGCAAGTCTTATACTCTAAAGTTTGACACACACATACATATACAGCTACTCCACCACATCTCCGGGGGCGAAAAGACAAAAAAAAATCCATAGTAATGTTTTTTTTTTACATAAAGTAAGTTTGACATTGCTGTGCGTATTGGCGACATCGATAACAAGTATTCATGTGATCCTTTGAAACTGATCCCTTGTCCGCGCGAAATTTATGTAAAACGCTCGTACAACACAGGATAATGTTATAAGGGTTTAAAAAACGAAATTGTCGCGAATCTGGGTGTTTCTCTCCGAGAGGGGTCGACGTCGGGCCGATCGTAAAAACCTAGCAAATAACGCTAGCGACGTGATTGACAAGTCGCGCCGACCCCTCTTAGGTGGGATAAGGACAGGGGGATGGACCTTTCAATGGGATAGATGGCTAGTGGTTCGTGTTCGTTAGCGGTTTTATTGGGGATGGGAAAGAGTTTCATCGACATCATAGTTTACTGGTCCAGTACCAGTCTGCACTGTTGAGTACTGCTTTTTGTCCAATGTATAAGTGTAAGAAATTCTGCGGTCTTGTTATCTAATTCTTTTAACTGCCTGTG